GGGACTCGATCCCGGGACTCCAGGATCATGACCTGAGCCGAAGGCAGTCGCTTAACCAACTGAGCCACCCAGGCGCCCTGTGTGATAGTTTTCTTAACTATCCTTAAATTTAATAAAATTCATTAGATATTTCATGTATACCTTTGGCTATCTTTAGGCATACAGCAGATATCCAAAGCTCAGACAAAATGTGGTTATAACATAAAAAGAGAAATGCAAGGGAAACCCAGAAATAATAATTCCGGTTGGGGGAAATGTTGAGCCAAAAAGAAAATAAGGTCCCTGTTGTCATTTTCATAGTTAAATAATTCCCTACAGTTAAAAAACTAACTTTTTTTATTTAAAAAAAATTTTTTTAAGATTTTATTTATATTTATTTGGGAAAGGGAGAAGCAGGCTTCCCGCTGAGCAGGGACCCTGATGCGGGGCTCGATCCCAGGACCCTGGGATCATGACCTGAGCCGAAGGCAGACGCTTAACGGCTGAGCCACCCAGGTGCTCCAAAAACTAACTTTTTTTCAACTAGAGTACTAAGTACTTAATGTGCCTTATTTCCCACAATGACCCTGTCTGAGTGTCAGTACTATTACCCTCATTTTACACATTTCAAAAGCAGTTTAACGACTAAAATACATAACTAGCAAATGATGAAAGAGAGAAATTGTAGTGAAATGGTAAGCAGCTTAGTGGCAGAAGGAAGTTTAGGGATAAAGTGAGTAATTCTGTGTGGTTGAAATGAGGAGATAAGAGTGGTTGAAATCCACTTACACTTCTGTTAAGTAAGCTCTCTTGTTCTACAGGGGTTTCAGCAGCTTTTGCTGTAAAGCTCTTTAAATCATGGATAAATGAAAAAGATATCAATGCAGTAGCTGCAAGTCTTCGGAAAGTCAGCATGGATAACAGACTGATGGTTTGTAATTTGTTTCATTTTTCCCATTCTTGCCAACACTTAGTGTAACAAGGGAATTTTCTCATTTCTAATTTGTGAAAAGAGGAGGTGTTTTTCTTGATAGGATTAAAGACCGTTTAACCAGATTAAATTCTCCTTTCAGGAACTTTTTCCTGCCAATAAACAAAGCGTTGAACACTTCACTAAGTATTTTACTGAGGCAGGCTTGAAAGAACTTTCAGAATATGTTCGAAATCAGCAAACCATAGGAGCTCGAAAGGAACTCCAGAAAGAACTTCAAGAACAGATGTCCCGTGGTGATCCATTTAAGGATGTAAGATATTTTTGTTTAAACCATCTTAATGATTTCTTTCTGGTTAAGAAAATGTTTATTCGCTTGACTAGTTTTAAAGTATTTCACCAGAGTGGGTTTTAATTAATAGCTATAGGATGTTATGCTGGGGCTTTTCGTCATTTTTCATATTTCGTGCTTTTATTAGTGCCCAGAAATTGAAATGCTTGGGGATTTTGTAAGGTGCAAGCCAGTGGATAGATCATGTTTCCATCTCCGTCCTTTCCTAGCCAGTTTGCCTGTTGTGTAAATTAAGGTTTGGACTACAGGCCCATCCCTTCCAGTTCTAAAAGTTCTCTGATCACATGTGGCACACATGTCGTCATTGCCAGTTGCATGGAAAGGTGGTTTTATGTTTTTGTAAAAGGTCTGAGTTTGATGTGTAGAGTGTACATATCAAAATTGATTTCTTTTACTAAAATCGATCTTTTTGCAGATAATTTTGTATGTCAAGGAGGAGATGAAAAAAAACAACATCCCAGAACCCGTTGTCATTGGAATAGTCTGGTCCAGCGTAATGAGCACCGTGGAATGGAACAAAAAGGAAGAGCTTGTAGCAGAGCAAGCCATCAAGCACTTGAAGGTATTAGAACTACGCCTTTGCAAAACATTCTGCTTTTTAGTGGGGATAAGTAAGGTGTTACTGTACTTAGAGGATGTATCACATCCTGTGGTTCCTGGGGATAACCACCAGTGAGTAGACAAATAACTATTTGTGATAGTTATAAGCTATTGATAATCTTTTAAAAGTCTGACTTCACCTTTCTTTGGTTCACAGGTTAAAAACAAATACACATTTAAGGGGGGTGGGGGGATGGGTTAGCCTGGTGATGGGTATTAAGGAGGGCACATTCTGTGTGGAGCACTGGGTGTTATGCACAAACAACGAATCATGGAACACTACATCAAAAACTAATGATGTAATGTATGGTGATTAACATAATAAAAATGTAAAAAAAACAAATACACGTTTAAAAATAGCATATGCCTGTAATTTGGTGTTTGCTTTTGAGGGAATATTGGAAAATAGAGCACTCCTTTTTTATTCTCTAAATTATTAACATCATATTGACAGTTGTCTGGAATCCCTGGTGCAGTATTGCTTATTTAACTTAGATGCTTAGTAGATTCTTCTGTTTTGTTTTATTTATTTGTTTGTTTTAGTTTCCACTACATGGAATATAATTCACAGTGATTTTAAAAGATCTGTTTTGTATTTTAGGAATTTTGGAATGGAGGGTCATTGTAATAAATGACAAAACTTTTTCTCCTTTCCCTTTAAAAGCAATACAGCCCTCTACTTGCTGCCTTTACTACTCAAGGTCAGTCTGAGCTGACTCTGTTACTGAAGATTCAGGAGTATTGCTATGACAACATTCATTTCATGAAAGCCTTCCAGAAAATCGTGGTGCTTTTTTATAAAGGTAATTTAAATTTTAAATTTGGTGATAAAAATCCTAGGGGCGTCTGGGTGGCTCAGTCAGTTAAATGTCTAACTTCGGCTTGGGTCATGATCTCAGGGTCCTGGGATTGAGTCCCCTGTGGGACTCCACACTCAGCAGGGAGTCTGCTTCTCTCTCTCCTTCTCCCCCCCGCACCCTCCTCCCTCTCTCTCTCTCTCTCTCTCTCTCAAATAAATTCTTAAAAAAAATCCTAGAATACTCCCTAATAATTCCAAGGAGTAGTTGTCTGAACATCAGCTCCATGAAATATTTTACTCTAATCATAGGACACAATTGTTTCTAATTAAATTGGGTATTTTTTAGTCCATTAATATCAAAACATCTCTAAATCATATTAAGTTAAAACCTAAAATCTTCTTGATGTGGCCTCAAACTTCACCTTCCATTCTCTACCAGTTCTCTTCCCCAGACGTAGTCTCCAAATCTCTCTAGTCTTTGGCCCATGACATGACTTCCCTTCATCCTACCCCATTACCCAAAGTAGACTTTTACTTGTCTTTTAAGACCAGTTCACAATGCTTATTATAAAACCTGTTTCAGTTACTCTCTTTTCTGTGATCCTATTTCAGAAAACTGGTCTGAAGTGGTTAAGAAAGGTAAGGACTTTGTTGGGAGAGAGTCCATTGCAATATTTAGTTTACTATGGTTGTTAGTAATGTTTTCTTCGATTCTGCATAAATCAGACCAGTTTGACCCCAGTAAGTGTAGTTTGTGTGCACACGTATTATTTCCATGACCTAGTTTACATAAATGATTTTGTTGGTTCCTATATTCTAAACTTAGAACAGAGGTCTATATCCCCATCTCCAGAATTTTTTGTTTTTAAGAAAGAATAGGGTAATGAACTCCTAAGTAAGTACTCCATGCTTTGGTTATAGTTAGGTTTCTTGAAAGTGTACCCCCATTTACATCCTCCTCCCACTCTAATTATTTGTAAACAAATCCTAGAAACCTTTAATTTTTCAAAAGTACTTTATAAAGTACATGGACTTTTTTTTGTTTTTAGTAAAACTACAGTACCATTTTCACACCTAAAAATTTTAATGTAATCCGTCAGATATCCCTGATCATTTATTGCATATCCCTGATAGTTTATCGCAACGTTTCTCTACCTTGGTACAACTGGTATTTTGGGCCATTTAACTCTAGTTGGTAACAGTCCTGTGCATTGTAGAGTGTTGAGTAGCATCTCTCCCCAGTGTGAGAGCCAAGAATGTCTCTAAACATTGTCAGATGTCCCAGCAAAGGGGGGTGTAAATTGCCTTCAGTTGAGAGAATCACTGGTTTAATAAGTGTTTTTCCTAGTTGCAGGTCATACGTTGGCAACAAGTTGATAAAGCATTTTTTTTTTTTTTTTTTTTTTTAAGATTTTATTTGACAGAGACTAGCGAGAGAGGGAACACAAGCGGGGGGAGTGGGAGAGGGAGAAGCAGACTTCCTGCCAAGCAGGGAGCCTGATGTGGGGCTTGATCCCAGGACCCTGGGATCATGACCTGAGCCGAAGGCAGACGCTTAACGACTGAGCCACCCAGGCGCTCCTGATAAGGCATTTCTTAATAGAGGGCTCGCCTTTAAAAATTGAAGAAACCAGTTGAGTGTTTTGAATACAGTAATTGTTCATACCTAACTTTTCAGTAGGCTTTTTTTCGCCATGCAGGCATTTGCGCTTTAGGTGGCTTCTCACTGCCTGAAAACTCCCGAATGTAATGATTGCTCTCTTTATAGCTGAAGTCCTGAGTGAAGAGCCCATTCTGAAGTGGTATAAAGATGCACATGTTGCAAAGGGGAAAAGTGTCTTCCTTGAGCAAATGAAAAAGTTTGTAGAGTGGCTCAAAAATGCTGAAGAAGGTAAGTCTTTTCCTTAGTGCAGTTTGTTTGGTAAAGCCCGAGAACTAATTTTAATGTGGCCATACAATGTGCTACCGTTTTTCATTGAGATACCATTTTGTACCTTGAGTACAGATTTTTGTTCGTGACAGACCTGCAAATACTCATTTGCTTTAAGACAGGTGGAGAGAACTTGACTTTGGCTTGGCCAATATACTAACATACTTACGAGGGAAATTGAAAATTTTAAGACTATTTAGTAAATACTAGATTTACAAATGAAGGCTTTTGAATATTCCCCTCATAAGTAGGGGATTATTAATATAATTACTTAATTGTAATAAAGAGCTTCAAAGTTATAAATGGGAACTTCTGCTTTCTGATATTTATATAATGCTTGACTGCATTTTTCCCCTTTTCTAGAATCTGAGTCTGAAGCTGAAGAAGGTGACTGAATTTTGAAACTACACCCTCAGTAAAGCAAACAGGAGTTGTAGATAAAATGTCATGTCTCATGTGTCCTGGTTCTTACATCTTCCTACCTCCCTATATCAAGCATGATATAAGGGCTCTCATGGCAAATTTTATTTTAACTGTTTCTATGGTTACTGGAAATGTTGGGTTTAGTTTCTAAAACCATGTTTTAAGTAGCTACAGGAGCTATAGATTTGAATCTAATGTTGCATTAGTCTTTTCAGTTATCTTCTACCTCCTGTATTTTCTACTGTAATAATGTAATTTAAGGCCTTCCACAATGAACAGTTCACTTTATTCCCTGGGTTTTCTATATAAACAGTTTTCAAGATATGATTTGGTTAAAAATAATTTGTTATAAAAATTCTGTTTGCAAATTAAACTGTAAAAGTATCCAAAGTCTCAAAAGGCAATGATTTGTGTGATAATTTGGTATGCCCTGCTCATCAATGAGAATCTCATATACAGTAATTAATTCATTAACATGAATCTTGAGTATTTGGACCATTGCTTGCATGTTGATATTTTCTTGCATTTTTAACCCCTGATGTCCTTGAGCTTGGTTGTTTGTTCTCTGGTTTTCATTCGTTAGTAAAGCCATTGAGAACAAGCTTAAGAGTGAGTTCTTTGGGAAATTGTATGTGGCAGAGGTTGTGGGAAGAAGAAAGTTGAGCTTTTTCCCATTGAGAAACTTCTGCATTCAGTTTGTATCTTTCCAGGCAAAACAGGTGGATATTCTTTTCATTACAACCATTTTCAAATGTACCTTAGAAAAATCTTGTCATTTAAAGTATTTTACACTTGTCATGCACTTCGATTGAAAGGAAAGGATTCAAAAGAGTGTGAGTTAGGGGTGCCTAGCTGGCTCAGTTGGTAGAGCATTTGACTCTTGATTTCGGGGTCATGAGTTCAAGCCCCACATTGGGTGTAGAGATTACTTTTTAAAAAAATAAATAAAAATAGTGCGAGTAAAGGAAATGACTATACTAACCCCAGTAAGTTGTTAAATATTAAGTGGTCAGCATGTTCTAATTGAGACTCTAAATGTAACTCATTTCCTCTTGGCTTAGAGTATTTGTTGTAAAGAATGAAGTGCAATGGTAATATATTTCCACTTGATCATACTGGATCAGCTTCATTCCCTTAACATACTCACAGCTCAAGCACCTGGCTATTAACATACCTGAGTTGCCATCTTTTTAAATTGCCATGAGCCAAATATCTCTTCTATACAATTGATCCATTTATTTTAATGGCTGCCTTTTAATTTCCATTTTCCTTTTCTTGCTGCTACCCATATATATATTTTATATATATATACATATATATATATATATGTAGTCATTAGAAAACAAAATATGACCACTTTGGTGGAGAGACATCATGTTAAAAGTGAACATTTTGAAAGGTGTTTTTTTTTCTTGATGAAAGAAACTAGCTTGGAATAATGCCACCAGAGACTGAATGGAAATTGCCCCTTGCAAAGGTGCCATTCTTACGAGCCAAGAATTTGGTGTTTGAAAGTTCATCTTGAGGGAATAACATGTAATATATAACCTTATGAAGAACATTATAACTGATACCATTGTGAATGGGGTGAAATTGTTAAATGAATAATTTTGATAAAGTTTTCATGCACAGGCAAAATGTATTCACTAGGTTTCTACATAGTGATCTGCTTTTACTTTGTAATTTGTAGTCCTCAAAAGACTTTTTTTAAAAAATAAAGTCCATCCTTACACTTAGGTTATAGGACAGTCTTCTTTAATTTTTTTTTATATATCCCATGTTAATACCTAGGAGTAGCTGTATGTTACGCGTTCAGACGTCTCTACTGTGTAAGCATTGAATAATTGTCCTCATCCTTAGGATCCCCAAACTGTAAACACCCACACAGAATTCTGATGTAGTGGAAACTACATTTAATATTTCTGCAGCCGAACCCCATTGCATGTTACTGTCATACAAAGTGTACCCTATTTTATTATATACTGTGTATAGTGAAAGAGTGTGTAGTCTTCGAGAACTACATTATGATCTTTGTCTGATCGTAGTTTTTTTCTTCATAATGACAAAGTAGTATTTACTTACTACAGTGTTATAGTAAATGGATAAGTCACCTGTGACAGTATAGTGTAAAGAAAGGGAATGCTTCCTAAAGACTGCAGATTTTCATTTTGAATTTTAAGTGGTAATTTTGGAACTCAGCTGCCAGTGCCCACCTATGGCCTCAAATATGTAATGCTTAATCTACATGTTAAAATTGTACTTGTAATTATGATTGGATAAATATTAGTTGATTTTCCAAACTTGGTGTTGGTTTCTAAGGATAAGTCTCCTTAGGTGCCATAATTAAATATGTGTTTAGAGCTGATCATAGGTTTCTTAATTACTCTGGGAGTATTGTCCTAGAGATATTTATTACTCTGTTCTTAGAAAATTCCAAATACCAAAAATGCCACAACATATTTGGACATAGCATAGTGATGGAGGTGAGAGGAAATGCATGTGACTGAGAGATGTATCTGCTTTATACATGAAAAAGAGTAAGGGTGATTTTTATGTTTTTTGTTTTTGGTCCCACTTGGCAGTGACATCACCCCTATTGTGAATGCATGACCTAATATATCTTTTTTTAAAGGGGAGGGTACCTAATGATAGACCTTTGCATTGGCAAACATATCTTTACGTGTATCCATATCCTGAGATAGTATTTTTTTCTGCCAGTCTTAACAGTTGGGCTTTACACTCCAGCCCACCATAGACAACAGACATATCATTCCCCATTGGCTTTGAAGGTCTTAACGGGTTCTTGATTGTAAATGTATAAGTAGAATCATTTGGGATCCTTCCAATCTATAAAAATCAATTAAAATCCTAGGTGAATGGTTTAAAGTTGTTAGGCATAACACATGGATAATGGTATTGAAATTTTACTAATGAAACTTTACAGGAAATTGGGAACTGACAGAAATATTGGTTGGCTTTAAGTGTAACAGATGCCAACATTTTAGTGTTCATTATTACTTGGACTACTGAACTACCTTTGTGAAAATTTTCCTCAGATGCTATTTACAGGTACCATGTAAAATAGGCTAAGCATTTCTGTGGGAATTCTGGTAAATTGCCTTGCTGTGATTTTTTTTTTTATGTAAAGTATTTGTCCTTTAGTATTGATAGAAGGTGTTTCTATTCACCAGCCTACTGAGGCCTAAAGGTTTAAAATATAAGTTTTTCAGTAGGCTTTATTTAAGTGGACTCTCAAAGATATAAGTACTTTTGACTTCAAAATAATGAATTTATAATTGGCTTTTGTTTAAAAATGAATTGTAATGGATTTGTGTCTAAACCCAGTCATGCATAATTGTATGACACGATGTGGATTAGAAAGGCTTCCCAACTTTTTCTCCCTGTTTAACTGGGCAGTGAGCAGCCATATCAAATCCAATCTTTTTTTAATCTCTTTTATTTAAATTCAGTTAGTTAGCATAATGTATTGGTTTCAGAGGTAGAGGTCAGTGATTCATCAGTCTTACATAATACCCAGTGCTCATTACAACACATGCCCTCCTTAATGCCCATCACCCAGTTACCCCGTCCCCCCATCCCCTTCAGCAACCCTCAGTTTGTTTCCTCTGATTAAGAGTCTCTTAACAGTTTGTCTTTCTCTCTGGTTTCGTCTTGTTTTTTCCTCTCTTCCACTATGATCCCCTGTTTGTTTCTTCAATTCCACATATGAGTGAGAGAGACCATATGATAATTGTCTTTCTCTGATTGACATGGCAAGTTCAATCTTTTATTTTCCATGCACTTAAAATAATTTTTTCTCATTCTAGGAGCATAGTCTCACCTCTTAATGAATTGAAAAAAGGATGAGGAGGGCGCCTGGGTGGCTCAGTCGGTTAAGCGACTGCCTTCGGCTCAGGTCATGATCCTGGAGTCCTGGGATCGAGTCCTGCATCGGGCTCCCTGCTCGGCGGGGAGCCTGCTTCTCCCCCAACCCTCTCCCCTCTCATGTGCTCTCTCTCTCATTCTCTCTCTCAGATAAAAGTCTTTAAAAAAAAAAAAAAAGATGATATTTACAGATGCACTCAATCACTGTCAACTTAGTAATTTTTAGTAAGAAACTTATTTAAATGAAAAGCTCACCTGCTTGTGGTGCCCACTGTAGTGCCATGAGGAAACACTGGTGAGAAATCTGCTGAGTCTTCTGTTTCATAGACTATCTGGAGGGACAGATACCTTGTTCAAACGATGACAGAATGTTGATGGCAGGCTTGGGAACTGTGCGTTAAGTGTATACAATGAATTTGGGATGTGACAGAGTTATCAAATATAATTGAGCTATTCCGTTTCAGGAGTTTCCAGTCAGTGTAACTGTTTTACAATATCTAAGGACAAAAATAGTTTAAACCATTTTTTAAAGCTGAAATCCCGAAGGCTGTGCTTACACAGTTGACTTAGAGGTTAACCTATTAGGGAATTAAGTGACCCATTATAGACTGAGGCCTCTATTACTTCAAAAAGATGTTCTGTGTTCTCTGGCATCTTAATATTTTCTCTGTAAATACACCTCATTTCCATTCTAGTTAGGAGTAATGGACCCCGGCATGGCAAACAGTTGAAGAACGGAGAAAACTGGATAGCTGACCTTCCAGATAGTTGTTGGCACTCAGAACCACCTCAAGTACAGCCATCCAAACCAGTAATTACATTGCTGCATTATTTCTGTGTTAACTGTGAAATCTTCTTGTCTGTACCCTTGAAATGGAATAAAATTTCATGAGACTCCTTGTTAACATAAAGAGAGAAGCAATGACTGTTGCATTGGTTGTTCTAATAACCTGGACGCACTGGAGTTGGCTGTGGCTCCAGTTCTCATCTTGGTCCTTTCGGTTTTCCCTTGGTGTTTTAAATACCATCAGAAGGCCTGTGCCTCCAGAGAACTTTTTTCTTCAGGCCGCTTTTGGTTTTGTTTGGCTCACATACACTTCAGACTCATCCAAACAGTCAAAAAATATTCAGTGTTTCACTTCATAAAAGTGCCATCTACCCGCCCTGGAAAGTTTCAGCTCACTTCCCTTTCAGCCCTCCCGTCTGATGGATCAAGTTCTGTCCATTTCAACTCCCAACTCCAGTGCCACCACTCTAATTCAGGCCACCGGCATCTATTAACAGAGTAGTCTCTGAAAGCAAGTAAAACAGTTTAAGACCTTTTTGCCAGGAGGGACCTGCATGATTAATTCTTCAGCTTAATCCGACTTTTTTTCATTCACCCCTATATGCGCAGCATGTAACAGTACTTGTCAGGTAGCAAGCATTAAATACTAGATAAGTGAAGAAGTGAGAACACGCACAATAATACTTCCTGGGTTTAGTCAGAATACTGAAGTTGAGGATATGAAAAATGAGGGGTTGTTGCAAGCACAAGGTTCTGTGAATTAGAAATAGGTAAATATTTAGAAGCAACTTAGCCCAAGGTTAAATCCAAGATACGTCTGTCCTGTGATGAGGATTTCTATAACAAGTGACCAAAGTAGAAGAACCTGTCAGCCAGCAAATTGTAAATGCATGTTGTCTGATGCTCTGCTGAGTTTTAGCACTATGGTAATAAACAGAATTGGATACCAAAATTCAGGTTTACAGGAGGAGGTAGGTAATCAAGAGTGAGGTGAGTGCAAAACCAAGGACACGGTAGGTACTGGCAAGTTGGAGTGTCTGGTTTCAAAGGTTAAATAATCTGTAAATGATTAAAACCATGGGAGACAAATTACACTTCAAAAAAATATGGTTTGTACTCCCTAACATTGAACAAAACAGACTGTACATGCCTACGTGAAACGTTGGAGAAAGATACTCAGCTACTAGCTGTGTCACTGGGCAAATAGTTCAACCTCTGAGCCTTGTTTTCTGCATCTATAAAATAAAAATTACAGTGGTTGAATGATGCCTGTCTCATGGAGTGGTTGAGAAGTTCACAATAAAATAAATAAAAGGAAGGTACTTAAAACAGTCCTGTCCTAATAATCAGTCCATGAACTGTGGCTGTTCTTGTTAGAGCAAAAAGCTACTGACACTACTAAAGCCCTGAATACAGGTTTCTTGTTTGATTTGAACTAGTAGAAGGTAATGAAAGTCCCAAAAGCCATCATGCTTGCCTTAGCCACTGTAGAAAGAGACACAAGATGAACTGAAATCCTCATGGCCCAGTAGCAAGAACGGAAGCCATGTTTTGTGAGTGTGGTCAAGTACCCAGTCAATGTCCATTCAAATAACCATGTAAAAGTTAGAAACCCACAAAGAGTCGATGGTAGATGACAGAGATCCATGTTGAAAGAAAGCAAGCGGATAGGTGACCAACTGGTGTGGCTTTAGCTTTCTCTGTTCTGCTAAGCCCCTGCAGTGCAGCAGAGAGCCAGCCATAACTTAGATCAATACTACAGGACCAAGGGAAGTCTCAGAAGTTGGGGGCACTGGTTTCTTTTAAGGCAAGGAGCAGGGCTGAAAACATGAGACTATTGGAGTCTAAAAGGAGTAGCCACCTTCTCTATCTGCTCCCCTTAACTTACACCGCCAGGTGACTGCCCTTAAACACAGCAGAAAACAGAAGGTTTACCATCTGCAGAAAGAAGTTAGTTAGGGAAAAGAGGTGGGGCCTATGGACTGGTGGATATGGTAAGAGTAAGGGCACTGTATTAAAATTTTAAAAAACTAATATAACAGGTAGATCCCCAGCACTGTACAC